AATTTCATTCGCAGTTGTGAAAAGTTCTTTAGAAAAGAAAAACAAGAACATTTAAGATTGCGCGTGAGACGAGTTTGCGTTGAAATCCAAAGCTGTTATTGCCTCCATCTTAAATTTCTAAGAACTAAAGCTATTATTTCCTTTTTATTTGCCCTTTGAATTCTGACAATCGGAAAGTCAACAGTGTGTCTGGTTTTGAAATTCTCTCCGAAACCTTAGAACACCACGAAACACAGTGTGAGTGCCACTGTTCTTTGTTACTCTGTCACCTACCTCTTCACACTTTCTTTCTGGTTTATCCTCTTCAGTCCGTCGAGTTCTCTTTATTCAGCTCTGTCCCAGCGACTGACGCTAAGTCTACGCCCAGAGCCCACCCCTCTTCGCCGCTGTCACCTCTGACGCGGCTGCGCTCCAGGGAATAACGACGCGGGCAGATACGGGGCGCTACAGACACGACGGCGGCAGCACAGGTGATGGTGATGATGGCGGCGGTGGGGGCGGTGGAGGTGGTGGCGGGGATCGCGACGGTGGAAATGGTGGCGTTAAAGGGAGCAATGGCTTCGGTGTGGGCGGTGGCGTCGATAGGAGGTAGAGACAGTGAAGGCGGCGGAGCGAGTGACGAAGGGGTGATGGCAACGACGGGGGCGGTAGCGTCGATGCAGGCGGTGGTGACGGTGATGGTGGTGGCAGTTGTGCAGAGGAGGTTGTGACAGAAGAGGTGGCGCCGTTGGTAGCGGAGGAAACGGCGTTTGCGGTACAGTGGCAACGCTGGAGTGGGTGGCGGCGGCGGCGGCGACGGCAAAGGCGAAGGCTGTGACCGAGACGGAGGTGGAAGCTGCCGTGGCGACGCGGCGGTGGCAGGCGCTACAGTCGCGAGGGAGGAGGCGGAGGCGGAGGCGGAGGCGGGAGAAGGGGCAGGTCGATTCGCAAGAAACGGATTTACAGCCGCTCGCCCCCTTTGAGGAACTCCCCGGTAGGGGAGGGGGCGGGGCGGGGCAGGGGCCCGCCGCGACCGCGGGGCTTAAAGGGCGCGGCGCGACGCGGCGCGTCGGTCGTTTGCTTTCATAGTTCGCGCGAAGAGACTTGGAGCGGAAAATGTCGGCGGTGCCGAAGGAAAGTCAAGAGATTGAAGCACTTTGGAGTGTGTTCCGTAGCCAACTACCCCTCAGGGCGGCTGCCGTCACGTCGCCCAACTTGGCGCTTTGCAAACGTTTTTAGCCGTGCCTAAACAGTTAAACATTACGCTTTCCTGAAGATTATTTAATTTTATCATGCATTTATACTTTTTCGACTGGTTTATATACTCGGAAAATTTCTAAGAACATTTGTTTTCATCTTAGATCTCTCACGCGTTTTAATACTGTATTTTCTTTTTATGAAAGGTATGAATTGTAAGAGGAATAAGGGTTCATTTTAATCACTATCGCTCAAGTTGCCACACTGCTATAATATAAACTTGCATTTCTTAGTGCATAATAATTTCATCTCTTCAATATTATTAATCTCAATGACTCTGACATTTCGCCTTACCTGTGTAAATTGACGTAGTGAGCCCTTTCAGTGTCCCACAGTGACCATTCTATTTCGCTGATAAGCATTTTTCAGTGTTGAATCTATCCTCGCAATAAAATGATTACTTCATTTTGGTGGAGTGTAGCCGTACAAACTCATCTTAAGTAAAGACGGCGAATAGTATAGTACTTCCTATCGCTATTTTCTCAAGATATTTATTAGAACGTTAGCAGTGAAGCACAGCCTAGTGTCGAAGGACGATGCGTATCTTTGGGCCATGGTGTCAACGATGTCTTCTTCCTTAACCGCCCACAGGAGGCAGAGGCGCGATATGCTGAATGGTTTTCTTCGCATGAACGGGAGTCATATTAAGCCACACCCCTTTCACTTTTCCTCCGTCCCACCGTACCGCATGGACACGACACATTGCCACATGCTTCGTGCACCCCCTGAACTAATTCTAGTGACCCTGCAGACTCTGAACTAATTCCAACCACATACCACTTCCATGTTAATCTACACACATTGTTTAGGGACTACATTATTATGGCAGTTCGTATACTCAACTCTACCACCCACTCTTCTTTGTTTCTTTGCCGGTTAAACTCTTTCAGTGGCGAATCCACCTATGTCCCAGTGACAAAGGTGCCTCTGATAACTGCCTTACACATCGGTGACACTGATAACTACATTTTATCTAATAGTATCTACCTTTTATCTAATAGTAAGATTTCTTAACAAATGGAAAACAAATATTAATGGTTTATTTTGACTATTCCACTCTTGAAATTAAAACCAATAGTGTTTAACTATACATACAAAATACCCCCCCAATCAAAGTTTATCACTTTTCCATCCGTTTTTTCTTACCGCTTCTACCTACTGGCCAGTCATAAACTATGACTCATCTATCTTAGGAGGAGGTATACATCTATCGCTCCAATAAATGTCCAATAAACAGCGTACGTACTATATCATAACATCTAATTTTAACATAAGCTTTCAGTTATTTTCAACATGGCGCATTTGGCGCATTTTGAGACTCTGTTGGACTAATTTCACAGTTCTATTAAATACCATTCGAGCTTTGCAAATTCTCAGATAAATCCCCTCCTCTCTTCGCGAGTTGGGGATTTATCAACAATTTCCAATACACTCGTGGTATTACCTATGATAATTCACCAACAGTTAACAAATACGTTTGTACTTTTCGGTAAAGAAGACAAGCATGATATCAAATAAAATTCTCAACATCGTATACCTTCCAAAACTGTTATTTTTAACAATATAATGTATTTGAAATACTGTTTAAAACACACGGAACAAAGTAGTGTAATTTTCGAGTGTCAAGTTCGGTAACTATGACTTTTTTGCAGTATGTGTATAATGGATGTCAAAACCTCTTTTTTGATGCGCCAATGCAGTTGGCAGCATCGTGCTTCTGTAAACATCGTTTCTCACTTGTTTACATCGTGTGCTTCCCTTTTTCAATTTCCATAGAAATTGACAAGTTAGGAAGTAGCTTCCTGTTTTCACTCAATCGACTTGAGTAATTGAAAAACTTCCATATTCTTAAATTATTAAAGAAATAAAAACCCATATGTTCGTAGAAAATTCAAATTTTAGACCACAATTTTGTCCAAATAGATGATGGTTATCTAATTTATTTGGAGGGTGTAATTTTAAATTCACCTGTAATTACGAATAAGTTATTTATTTGGAACAAGATTTTTAATATTGGGATTTTTATAACATACATATTAGGTACTATATTCCTCTATTGTTCTCGTAAATTTATGTGTTTATTGACACAAGAACTTCAACCGAAACTTTGAAATTTTAATGAATTGTTTGTATTAACACAGTTTATTCAAAAGTATATTTTAATTACTCTTAAAAAATGACTAAAATGTGTGAAATGTATCATAAAATAATTTTTTCTGATAGTACCTTCGACTAATTTTTCCCTGAGATACTCAGTTAATGTATTACTCACATACTTTTTACTGAAAGTTAATTCACGATTTTGCGATTTTCCTTACATAAACTATTCTATTTTGAGTGAAAAATAATGGTTAGAATAATAATGAAATTATGACTATTTTGAATTCATACTGCTTGTTGAATTCATAACTATTTTTGTACTACTCCTCGATAATGTACAGTTGAAAAAACATTCTTGTGACATATTTTCTAACGTATCTTTATAATTTTAAAAGAATATCTGCAATTGAAACGTTTTTCAATAAGACAATAATTTTCATTGTTATAAAATGAATTTTTAAGATGGTCAATTTGTTGCACTATATAAATAAATCCAACGAGAATGTTAATGTAGAATGAACATTTGTAAAGAGAAATTATGACACAATACAAATTATTAGTTAATATTCGTGATAGACACGCATTTGAATATACCAATTTAAAGAATATACATCTAGCTTAAGTCGTGCGGTCTAGGCGTAATGGTTAAAATTAATAAACACTGTCTAGAGATAAAGTGGGATTTAATGTGAAACAAGAAGGGGAGCACTTCGAGAAAAGAAGGTGTTGTGGGACATTATTTGTTCGTGACTCGATAACGTCTTTAACGTGAGGTCGATCAAGTGTATTTTCATTTGCGTGTCACTCGAAATATAATTGGACTACACGCAAAGTGGTAACAGATGGCTTGCTTTAAAAAGAGATAGATTAAAAAAGAAGCTTTCATGCGTTTCAAAATTTATAATGATTATGGGAATGTTGAGTTGTACGAAAGTAAATAGTGAAAAGAGAATCGAGTAAAGATAAATATAATATTGGCCACATTCCGAAATATCAGAAACCACATGATGTAATGTAACAAAGAAAAATAAAATACTATTCGGAGAAATATTTTCTACATGAGTGCAATTGAAAATCAATTCACTACCAACAGATTTGATTTGAAATTCAGTATAAACACGTTACTTCTTGATATGAATGTATTCGTGTTCTCCAAAAGCTTTTCCATAAAATTTACAAATTTGAATAAAACATAAGTCTGTCTCACGTGTTCGTCATGTTTTAAAAGGTACAATCCAAAAAGCATACATTTGTAGATAGAAAATATTGCAATGCACAACAATAATAAAGAGAAGGAACACGAAAGTTACACGTGTATTTACTGGAAACAGCAATGCGGTATCTGAAAACATGTATACAAAGAAAATGACAGTATGAATGAGGGAATGAATAGGCGGAGGAAGTTAAGAAATAATTGGTGTAAAGAAAGAAATATTAGAAAAATAAAGCGAGGAAAAAGTTGGAGGACAAGACAATCCACCAAGTTAAGCATTTTATAGAATTAAATTTAAGTTATTTGTGTAAATTCCTCATATAATACCCCGAATTTGCATTTTAAAAAACGTTCTCACGCGTTTGATCAGGCAGCACTGACATCCTTTAACAAAAGTTCTTATTAAAGAATCACACTCAACTTTACAGACTTTATGAGATCAAATGTAATATTAATAAGTTGAATAACCTCTCACAATAATAATAATAATAATAATAATAATAATAATTAATAAGTAGAAGACGAAAAAGAAAGGAGGAAAGAAAGAAAGAGATAAAGAAAGAAGGAAAGAAAGAAAGTAAGAAAAGGGAACGGAACGTCGCACTGACCGGGGAAGGCGGGCGCCACGAAGTGGTGCATGGCGGAGAGCTGGTTGAAAGCGTCGTCGTCGTCCGTGAGGGCGGGCGGCGCGCCGGCGAGGCCCAGGGCGTTGACGGAGGCGACGTCGTAGGCGGGGGCGGGGGCCGCCCTGCCGGCGCCCGCTAGCAGCGCCACCAGTAGAAAAAGCAGCGACAGCAACGCGGGCGGGCGCGGCGCCGCAGTGCCGGCCTGCGCACACGACCGCCAGCGCCCCTCGTCACTCTCCTGCTACACTCCCGCGTTCACATTGATTTAAACGGAACAGTGCCATTCTTTAAGACTTTTACTACACACTTTTGGTTTTAGAAGCGAAACTTTTATAGGTGCTCTATCTTTTTTGTTTTTAAAGAGAAACTTCTGCAGGCGGGGTAGGTAAATCGACTCGAATCAGCCAAAAAGTGAAAAGAGATTTAACTGTAATCACATTCGGCGACGGCTGCGCTGCTGCATGGAGCAATGCACTGGGAGAACATTTGGAGGAACGTTTCTGGAATTTAGGTTTGGTGGAAAATTTTCTGGGAACGCCTATTGTTTTGAGGGAATTTTTTGTGATTTGTTGAGGAAAACATTTTTGGGAAAGTAAGTCTAGGAGCAAATATGTTGGGGAAACATTTTTGCGTAGAATCATTTTTGGGAGAACATTTTAGAAGCATCTCTGAAACATGTGGGAGAACATAGATTAGGCTTAAAAGAGACGGATTTCATGACATTTGTGCTGCCAAATACCATCTGGAAAATGGGAAAATAATAATGGTAATGTGTTACTTATATAAATACATAGAAAAGTTAATCATATTGAATTCATCTATATAATCATAATCACATACACAATTGAAAGTACAGCATTTTTGGAAAAAGATTTGACAAAATGTCAATGATTTGAACTAATTTCAGCTGTATTATACTATTTCTTTCGTTCGAGTATAAATACGTGGATATTATTGAGTAAATAAAAAAGTATATTTTTACTTTCTCGCTACGCGTGCGCAGTACAGAGTTATTTAATGCTGAGCGAAAAAAGGTGAATTTTCGGCAAAAACTCTTATTACAGGGCCCTGGTAACGAAAAAAATGGATAAATTCAGTTGCTAAATTTAATAAAAAATCTTCTAACCCGTGCTGTAGCCAGAATTCATGTTTTGTGGATCCTTGATTCCGAAAAATCAAATGACGGCAAGACGGGTGTCTTTCCGCCTGTGAACAACGCCAGCAGTTAAACCGTTCAGCTGATTTTCTGCAAAATTGAAATTCCCCTGTCGATCTGGCTGATGTCGTGTTTCCCCCTTGTATTTGAAACCGATATTTTAAATTTAAGGGGTACTTTACAAGAAGCATCCGGGACACTTTAAATATGTTCAAAAAGGGAACCATTGTTTTTTATTAAATTTTGTTATTGGATAGTGTGAAAAGAGTTGAAGAGAATGGAGTGAGTCTCATGCTTGTTAAAAACTCTGAGTTTTTGAAAATTGCAGAAGTTCAAAGTTGTTCGGCATCTTCCTACAACTGCAGTAATGAAAAAAGAGATTTTTTCATTATTGAAATCTATTCCTTGAAGATAGATTTTGCAATAAGGATATTTTTTCAAAAATTATAGCACTTTTTGGGTAATTTTGAATGTAAGTACGGGCGAGCGAACGAGCGAGTATGATCTGCTTTAGCACCACAAGTTTATTAAATGAAACGAAATTTGCATGAATTAAATTTCTTTTGTCTATTTACTAATTCTAACCAATGATATTGAAAATCGTTAACAAATAGAAAAAATTCAAAAAAATCAACTTTTCCTATGAGCTAAGTAGATTTACTTTTGCTACGAGTGACCTTCACGGAGTTTTTTAATTCAAGGTTTCATATATATCAATCCCAATCTATGAAGGTTATTATGCATTATTATGCATTTTCATTTTTTAATCTTGTAAGGTTTCATCAAAGAATCATCAAAGAATTCCTCGTAATTTTTGTAACTATTACGTTAAGATAGAAAGTTTTTTATTTCTAATATTTAAGCTATGAAATCATTTTTGTCTATACTGTTTTAAATACTGAACAGGGAACTTCTTGTATCTCCTTTTATAAGTAAACTAGATCATTTTGTTCCTAAATAGCTAATAATGTATTTTTCAATGATTAATCTAATAATGTATTTGTCAATGATGAATCTATAAACTGAAGGACATTCCTAATCTTTTGCTGCTATACGGATATTCCTTAATCGAACATTTAAAATATTAATAGTACGTTTTGACGTATGATCCATAGAAGACACGTAATTTCTATTTTCTCGCAATTGAACTCAGTAAAAATGCAAATTTTAAACAGAAAAAGTCGTATTCCGGGCCCCTGGTACATAAAAGATGAATAAATCTTGTCCTTGTATATATCTACTTGGAGCGACAGCCCGTGAACGGGCTCAGGCCTACCGGCGACGTCCCTGTCTCACGGCCATGGGTTAAGGGGTCACGTGTGGTTAGCATGTACCCTATTCCGGTCTTTTCAACCTGAGAAGTGAATTTTCTCATCGTCACACAGCAACATATTGGGATATTGGGACAAAACTGGAACATTGCAAGGAAAACACATACTATAGTTTTGGCTTGACCGGGAATTGTACCCATGGCCACGTAGTGGTAAGCTAGCACGCTGACCAAGAGATAGTCACAAATCTCAAATCTTGTTCTTATATAAAGTTAATTACTTCATGTAATACGGGTTTAGTCAGAATCCATACTTTGTGGGTCCTTATTACTGAATAATCGATTGACGGCAAAATTGTGTGCCCCCCGTGTTCAACATATGCACCTTAACCATTCAGCCGTTTTTCTCTAAAATTAACATTTCCCGTTCGATTTAACCGAACTGGATGCCCTGCGAGTTTGAAACGGAAATTTTAATTTTGGTGAGTACTTTACGTAAAGCATCGTTTACATTTTCCAAAATTTTCATTTAAATAAAGTTTCCGACGCATCAAAAAGAAAACCCTACCCGAACGATCGCGAAATTTCATGTTTGTGGAAAATGGGATGAACGATTTAAACTAAGCGATAATGTCACAGACGGAAGGTCCGACATTTTTTCCCAGAACACTCTTTTCCGGTGTTAGGGACACACAAAATTCTTACCACATTGTATACCTGGCAGAAAATTTGCTCCCTATAAGAGCAAGAAAAATCCATATTTTCGTATCAGGGACTCAGAAAATGAACTTTTCTATAATAAATGGGCACTTTTTGAACTGACATTACGAAATTTTCTCAATACTTTGTATACTAGGAAACAAAAACTGTGTTTTAATATTAAGAATATTTTTGAATCTGTGTATCGAGCTTATGGGAAGTGTTAATGTATCTGCCAGGCTTGGAATGTTGACCTCTCCTGACAAATGTTTTAATGTTCCTCCAGTGTTCATTGGGTAATGCTTCACTACGGTAAACATCTAGATTAAATGTAATGTAATCTTCATTCAACGACAATATTTTGAAATGTTTGGGTTTTCTAGTTTTTCACTTTTCCGAATCTTTATCCTAATCTAATCCTTATGAATTGTTAATCGTGTCCTCATTGTACTGTCGTCGGTATCGCCGTTCACAGGTCAGCATAGCCTTGTCGAGAGGAAACGTAGGAAGAGGAAGTGTGTATCAGCATGAAAATTTACAACTGGTTATATTCCTATAAGATGACAATACGCCAATTTCACATATGAATATCTTAGCCAAAAGGCAAACTTCTTACAGCATACAGACGATTTTCTGGACTTTTTGGACGTGTGGAGATAGGAATACACAATGCCCAAGGACGCACAAAATTTAAAAATTGTTACATAGTAGTAGTATTTATCTTCATCTTAATATTTTTTGTACAGTTACATATTCTTACAGACCTTAAGAGGTGCTTAAAAACGTACATGATAGCCTCTCCTCGCAGAGGCAAATACAGTCACGTTTTGAATATTATAAATGAAGCTCTGTATTAAATGTTCTTCAATATTTGTTCGCTCACGAGGCACGTATGCGGTAATTAAAGGGATAAATGTATATCAACTGACAGAATTTGAACATTCTATTGAATTATTGCGCGCTTAGTTGGTGTGCAAGCGACTTTTGTGCGCCGACAGTCACGCGCGTCGTCCATGCTTAGCGGGATAGCCTAATGCCTAGGCGCCCCCTCGTCCGTTCCAGTCACGATTTATTCGGGTTGATGAAGCATTGATACATAAATATCTATACGAGATATTGTGATAATGTGTCAGGTTGTTGAACTTGAGTTGTCATATTTCATTATGATATATTAAAATATGAGAATGTGAGAGAATATTAACTAACGTCATGTTATGCAGGCCTAGCGAGATAATTGAGCGTTTACGCTCTCATACCAATGTCACTCCAGGACCCGGAGAGGTGGGTGCAAGGCAGAACCAAGAGTAAATTGCAAAAATTGTTTACAGACAGTTTATTCTTCTTAAATTCCTTACAACGTTCCGAACGCTATATCTTTGGATTCTTCTTCAGTACTAAGCATTTATTCATTAGTTCCCGTTTTTCATCACCTTAATAAAATATAGTCATATCCATATGTTAATTTTTCTACTGGAAAACGGGAACTCATTAATAAATACGTAGTAACTGAATAAGAATCCATAGATGTAAGTATCGAAACATTAAAAAGAATTTAAGAGGGATAAAGTGTATGTAAGCAATTTGTTCTAAAAAATCAGTATTAAACGCAGACATAATCAGTTTAGAATTGAAAGAAAATATAATTTGTTTAACAATGATCAAGTATTAGTAATATATTACAATTATTATCTGCAAATTTATGTTAAAATATTTTAAAATCGTCAATCGTTTTGAGATTCGGCATGGGCATACACATTTTGAACATGTCTTGTGCTTTCAGTACTTTCCATGTCTGTTTTTAATCTAGGTAAGCATGCACTATTTTCCTTGCGAGTGTCCAACTGTTTCTACAATACATTGACAAAAACTAAAGTAAGATTGCCAGATGTTTGTGGGTAGGCTGTAAAAGAACGCTGGAGTTGTCGCAAAGTGACTTCGAAGCCAGTTGGAAAGGCATGTTTAAATGCGTGAAGCGACTTTACTCCTTTTAAGTGACAACTTTAAATTCTCGAAATTTTGAGAGATCAGGTTTTGATTTAATTAATTTTGGTTAAATATTACGTCATGTAGAGGTATAGGACATATTTATGATAAGGCCAAAGCTTGGTTCTAAAGATAAATAAGATACAGTTTAGCAAATGTTTTTGTTTTCTTTGAAACTCATGTAAGGCAAATCGACGAAACATCTACGATATCTTAAATATGAAATGTTCTTCGTGGAGTTAAAGAACTGAATTAATATTAATAATTATATGAATTAATAATTATAATAAACGTGCCCTGAGAAGAACGGAATCTCACCTAACTAATTGTTCTCGGAGCATACAATATAACGAGAAGAAGAGAAATATTGACCACCGCAATTGAGGGAACATTGAAAGAAATGTGGAGGCGCGAGAGAAAAAAAGCTGAAACTGAAGAATGAAGAGCAGCTTCTTAGTGATAAGAAGTGAATGATAACTTGGCTTGCAAACAAGACAAGAAAACCTGACATGTGGATATGTAATAAACACTGTTTCCCCAATTCAAATTATAATTAGTGGTGCTACTGCAGTCACGTTCTCGAATAATGTGAAACGATTTATTTATTTTTTAATACTATTTGAATATTTGCTATTTTTTTGAACATTAAAAGATTACCACAATGTAACTTTTATGTTATTAAGTCTATTAACCTATATCCATACAAAACGCAAAGAAAAACTTTGTAGCCATTTTTGATAAATTTTTGTTTCATTGTTTTTTTATTTATTGCATCCAATCTGTGGATGAACCACTTTACAGGTTTGAAATAAGATACAACGCAAAAACAAGTTATAATATATTAACTCAAAGGTACCCAGGTACTGGCAATTAAACTAACTCAACCCAATTTTATATGTGAGAGGGGGTCCCCTCTCGCAACCTCATTTAAATGGATTTTATGCTCAGAGCTGTGTTGTGATGGAACTTTCGGAGGTCTAAATTGTTCTTTGAGAATGTGTTATTTGCTTCTAGTAGGACCATTACTAGATTTTCCAAGATTATAGAGTCTGGCACTGGGAACCTGGTGTAGGTTGGTGAAGGAATTTTTTGTTAATGTTGAAATGTGATGTATGAGGGTATCGGTGTTCAATTCTCTAGGGAGCTGTTTATTGAATATACGAAGTGGGTTCGAAAAGAAACAGGAATTTAGTTATTGCACAGATGGTATTAGTCTGATTCACGTGATTGTTTTTTTGTTGTGTTGGTAAACATGTCTGAAATGCATCTGAACACTGGTTCTAATTGTTGGATCATTAGTCTGTTGTTAGTTGCGAAGAAGATTACGTGTGTTTGTTTATGAGTGGCGATTTTTGATTAGTTGAAAATATGGATCAGAGAATTTGCATCAAATTTAGGCTTATGAGTGGTACAAGCGGTTCCAAGAGGGCCGTGAAAAGGTGGAAGACGACGAGCGTTCTGGACACCCCAGCACATCAACAACAGCTGAAAATGTTGAAAACGTGTAAGAAATAATTATAAAAGATCGCCCAATTGCAGTCAGAGAAGTTGCTGAAGATGTTGAAATAGTAATTGACTCATGTCATGAAATATTTTCGAATGTTTTGGGTTTGAAACGTGTGACAGCGAACTTTGTGCCAATGGTGTTGAATTTCGAACAAAAACAGCGGCGAATGGAAGTTGCTTAGAAGTCGCTAAAAGAAGTCATCAACGATGCAGAACTACTAAAACGTGTCATAACAAGTGACAATCATGGGTGTACGGGTACGAAGTCGAAACTGAGGTTCAGTCGTCCTAGTGGAGGCATCCTGGATCGCCAAGACCGAAAAAAGCTCGGCAGATGCGGTAGAATGTGAAGGTTATGCTCAGAGTTTTCTTTGATTTTAACGGCACAGTGCATTATGAGTTCTTGTCAAAAGGTCAAACGATGAATAAAGTGTACTATCTACAAGTTCAATGCCGTTCGCGGGAAGCAATACGAAAAAAATGGATTTATGGCAAAACCAATCATGGCTTCTGCATCACGATAATACACCTGCTCACACGTCATTGATTATAGTTAAATGTTTGGCAAGAAACCACACTGTAATGATGCAAAAGACTCCATATTCGCCAGATATGGCCCCGTGCGACTATTTTCTTTTCCCGAAATTAAAAAGAACCTTAAAGGGTCGTCGGTTTTCAAACACAGATGAGATTAAACGCTTCGCTGAAAGAGCTACATGCTATCCCAAGAAGGAGTTATAGAAGTGTTTCGGGGAATGGAAGAAGCACTGGCATAAGTGTATAATATCTAATGGTGACTACTTTGAAGGTAATAACATTGATGTTGTCGAATAAATAACATTGATTCATAAAAATGAAAATTCCCGTTTCTATTTGAACACACCTCGTATACCACGGAGAGTTATCGACGTTCGGAGGGTTTTATTTCGAAATACTTGAATTCCTTTTAGATTTGTTTGTGCAGCACCGCCCCAAACAGGTCAGGCATATGTTAGTGATAATTAGTGTTAATGCTGTTTTATAAATATGCAGGGTATTGTCAGTTTGGAGCAACTATTTACGGTTTATTAGAGGATGTAGGTTGAAGAGTGCAGCGTATGTTTTATTCAGCCGATAAATAATGGGGAGTTTCTACGTGAGACGAGTGTCTAGGATTGCTTCTTGGTATTTTATGAACTTATTGGATGGGAGCCAAAGAGCTGGTGAGTTTCCTATTGTCATAGATGCAGGATGGTTTGTTCTTCTAAGTGCGAAAAAGTTTCCAGTGTTGAAGATCAGGCACCATTTTGCTGCCCAGTCAGAGAAAGTGTTGATGTCTGACTGTAAGTTGTTGATTGCTACTAATAAATCACGGTTTGCGGAAAATAACGGAGTGTCATCTGCGTATAAAGCGGGGGACAGGTTCTGGTACTTGGTTTATCAGCTGTAAATAAATTGAGGAGAGTCGGAGAGAGAAGCGAGCCTTGAGGTACCCAGACCTAAATTATCTTAGGAGCAGAGAGAGAGAGAAGAATTTATTCGTACCAAAAAACATATATTTTCGGGAAAACTGGTGATGGTTTTGATGAAATAATCGAGGGCGCCGTTTTTTCTCAATTTGTAGATCTCACCTGGGTGCCAGACTTTGTCAAAAGCACCAGCAAAGTCTAAAAAGATTGCAGAGCACTATTGCTTATTTTTACACTTGTCCTATGGTTTCTACTATTCTAAGAAGCTAGTGAGTGGTTGAATATAGAGGGCGGAATCGGAATTGAAAAAAGGCGTGGCTTTTATATCTTGAAGAAATTTATTAAGTCTGATTAGAATCAACTTTTTTAAAAGATTTTATGCAGCGAGGGTAAAAGACTTTTGGGTTTATAACTAGAGGGATGATTCGGGGTTTTTTAGGTTCTAATAAAGGAATTACGATAGATTTGTTTCCAGCTTACCGGGAAATAGCCTAATCTGAGGCAGCCGTTGAAGATGACAGTTAGGCTCTAGACAGGCTCTGACAACCAATGGCTCTAGAAGGTAAATGCTTTAGAGCTCTGTTGGGGATATCGTCCATACCTGGAGAAAATATTTGGTTTTTGTGTTCTTAATTATTTGTTTGACATTGGAGGGAGAGATAGAACTAATTGGTAATGGAGCTCTGCGGTAGGGAGATCTAAGAAACCTTTCTAAAAAATTTTAGAAATCCAGATCTATAGAAGTATTGGGATAATCTAAATCATCTGTTAAAGTATGGGCAAGCATTTATAGTTTGTCCGCTTCTGAATATGCAAAAACTTTTGAGAACGAGTAGAAATAACCACTGCACCGAATAAGTCGGGTTATACACTAGTTGAACACCTCTGCTGTCGGCCAGAAACGTAACTGACTAAAGAAACGTCGCTGGTCGGTGCTAGCTGAGCTGCGGAGCGATTCGTACAATTCGACGGCCGACGAAAGAATGAATATTGTTTTTGCAATTGCCTTTATTTCACGTAAAATTACGGGAAAATTTCTCATATTTTCAAAAGACTGTACGTGACATTATTTAAAGATCTTATAAACGTTGTGAATTTGTAAGAATAGGTTTCGATAAGAAATATCCAACTACAATATTGTAGTTGTAGGAAGAAGCAAAAAATAAACTTTTGCAATTTTCGAAAATCAAAAGAATTTATGGTTACTCAAATTGGATTCACTGTTTTAATCGTTTTTTGCTCTATTTGCCAAAAATAATTTGAAATAAAAATAGTTTTTGAAAAAAGAGACGAGATCTTTCAGACTTCCTGTAGAGTAGCCCCCAAAAGCCAATTATACATTTCGTATTCAAGGAGCCGTGATATTGCGCAGATCGAGCGAGAAATATCAATTTTCGTGAACAGTACAGTCGCCCACGTTTTCCACAGGCGGACTAACGTTTTGCCGTAACCATTTTTTGGTTTTATTCACAAAACGAGGATTCTGATCACAGAACGTGTTAGAGGAAGTAATTTACTACTTATAACAGCAAGACCGTAATTATATCTAGCATACCTAAATAGTATGTAAGAAAGTAATTATGAAATTAATTAAACTAATAAATAATAAAGTAATGTTATTCTTGCAGTAATTTATACCTTTGTCAAATATATCATTTGAAAATCTTTGTCTACTTACCGATTCAGGAATCATGACGCCGGGTACAACGGCGACAATGGTAGGTGCGGCGACTCGGGCCTGAAAAAAATAGTAGAAATGTTACTCTTTTGGGTATAAACGGTAGACATATGTAAGAGCTAAACCTAAACCTCGTTCAAAATGAAACAACTTTCAACAGTGAAGTTTTAGCTTAGTTTCTTCTTATTACTAGAAATTAAACACGTTCATCAAAGAGGGGCATTTTGTGGCATTCAAAAGCTTATATCTCAATTCGGTAAATACGCAGTTGCCAGCGAATGGGGCGTAGATCTTCATATCATATCAACTATGTGTTTTTCGTTTTCTTGTAACTCTTAAACTTGTCACCGATTATTGGTCCGCCACTCGTGACAATTTCTTTGTAGTACTGGGAATTGGGTGAGTCGTGGTCTTGTTGTGTAAGGGAGGGATAGAAGTAGTCGAGGAGTGGAGCTTGGAGAGAGAGGTTGAAAAGATCTCCGCTCTAGTGAATACGCAACGACTACGTGTGCATGAGGTGTGAGCTTCCATGAGGCTTGCACGCATGCTTGAGATCTACTTCCGCCGCCGGGGGCAGGGCTGCGCTGTTGCGAGACGGGAACCGCTGCGAGCTCGGGGCGTCACAAACAGTTTTCTTTTGTTTGCCATGACGTTGAGGAAGGCTCGCGATCACCCGGTTGATAAGATGACAGAGTAATGCTTGTAGAAATAGAAAAGTGGGTCGGCTTCGGTGGAATTGCAGGTAGCGAGTCGGGATTTTATACCCAAGTTTGCGGATTCAAACCCGATCGAAGAAGTGCATTTTTTAAGTCGAAAAAATCCTTCTTACGCCTTCCTTTGTAGGAAAAGTAAAGGCGGCTTTCCCATGTTGTAGATTTACTGTATATAAAAGATCAAGACCAAAATAAGTCTCTTAGCTACATTCGTATTGCCTGTACCGTCTGCCAAGTGATAAATTCTTTCTCCGCTAGATGGCGAAAGGAGCGTAGTAAAATATTCACGGTCTGACAAAACAGCAGACCTGATGACCTTAGTCTTGCCACGTAAAATAAAGTATCATTGAATTGAAAAGTAATAGTGTTCTTTTCTTGTAAACTAGTTGCAAAAAATGCATTCTTTCTTCATTCATTCTTTGTTAAGAAACTTGGTGATATTGGGATGGAAAAGAGAAAGTTTTTGAATTGTTGAACTGAATGAACACCGTTTGTATGAACTGAAGTACCTATTTATTGCTTTTATTTGAATTTATTAATTTACATCTTTTTAAAACTTTACCTGCAATATTAACAATTGCATTCTAGACATTTTATGTAATCCTTTTCTTCCTTTTTTAATTTTTTTACTTTCCTAGCATTTACACATGTGTTTTCCTTGCCTTAATATAACTATCATTTTTTTATAGTTTATCGCTTTCCTGTAATTACGAGGTGTCATTTTCCCCAATAATCTGCATGGCGAATTCGAATAATCGAACCTTGACTTATTCGCTGTCTTTCTCTTTAGGTCAATTGTAGTTACTTCGAGTTTAAAAAAATCGTTTTTCTAAAGATTAACCCAATGTTTACAGCCAATTCATTGCTTAAAAAGTCACATTTCTTGTATGAGTACTAATGTTAGTTAATTGATTTACCTGTCGATCACCTTGCACCCAGTTCTTGGAAAATGGTCTGTACATATTGATTTCTCGAAGCCAATGTGAATTAGACCTGACGTTTCATTTGTCTGCCATGACTGAACCATTAATTGTTCCATTAAGTAAGTAATTGTTTGATAATGCATGTATGCGACATCGAGTTACAATATTTTTTTCCGTCGAAGAAATCTCGAAAGGGCCAGTCAAATAGTGGGTTTAAAAGTGTAAGTAAAGGAAGTAAATTAGCACGATCTTGGTAGTTTCCAAATTATGGACATACATGTTCACGTGTGCGTTTATGCAATAACATGATTAGTTTTAGCTTCATTTACATAACAGTGATACATATTTGCAAAGAATAACAACGATAATAAAATGAAAAATTCTCTAGTATCAGACACTATTTCCGGGCTTATAGACAAAAAATATAAGTAGGCTAAACCAAACTTGAGTCTTCCAATTTGCTTCCGAGTCAGGAGGGGTTTACTTCATGCTATTTTCGCATTTTTGTATATCAGTCTACTATTCGAAAATAATTTTGTTTGGAAGCAAGATTGAGGCTTAATCTACTTGATTACAGAAAAATAAATTTCGGTTATCTCTAAAAGAAATATCAGTCATCACACTTTGAAGAAAATAATGACAATAAATTATGTAACAATCTATGTAAATGAGTTGTATCTTAAATTTGTGAAAAACAAAGACTGTTATTTCTCAAGTGCTGTAGAAACATTGAATTACATCTTTATAGAAGTGGTTTAATAATTAAACAATATATAGACGAGTGAATATTTCAACACGTTTAATGTATTCATACATAATACTATTTTATGATTTTATATTTGTAAAAATTAGTGAATTTCTTAAGAGACAGAATTTGAACGAAATTGAAGTTACATTACTTCGAATACAAGAATACAAGTAATATTTTTATTGTAATCTATTGAATAACGTGTCATAAAATATCGTTCGTAGGTGGATATGAGAACTAAGACCGGGTTTTCGATAAAACAGCGTTGCTCGTTTTTCACCATTTGGTCACTTAACTCTAAACTATTATTTACCTTCAGGTTATTTCTGTTTTAATAAAAAAATGAAAGGAAAACAATGCACTGAAAACAGTTATTCCTGTACAAATGCATTCTACGCAATAACGTCTTTGAGTTTTCGATGAAAGCTTACTTGCAGAATGTAATTATTTACTAATACTGATGAAACGAATGAAATAATGATTTGATCCATTTAATACGGACGATATAACAGAGAAAACAAGAATTTGGTCCGAGGTCTGTTCAATAGGAAAATGTGTATTTACGTTGGGAAGAGACAGATATTGAGTGAATTATCTTGTTCATTGTAGTTTAGAATGGAAACAAGAATTTCCTCTCAAATCGATTGGAATATTAATTACTTATTACTGAGAAGTACACTTTTTCTCCTTCAGGGGAATTGCGCGCAGTCCCCTGTAAACATAGTTAGACATAATTGGGTACGAACTTTTTGGTTCATAATCATGAACGTGCACAAAACCAGACACGAATACAATCCAAAAGATAACTCACACACAAAAGACTGAAACTCAATTTGTCACAGAACGATCTGAGAAGGAGTCGCGTATGCAGCGTGACAGTGTCACGTGACGTTCAGTACGCACAATGGGGCACTCGGCGCGTGGGGCGAGGGCACACTCGACACGCGCGCCCACTTCGATATGCGAGCATCGATTGCGAGTCCCGCTGCCCTATCACGCAAGGCGGCGGCAGCGGCGGCGCGGGGAGTCGTGGAGCGGGGAGCGGAGGAAGACCTGTTGCACGCCGTCGGGGAGGGGGGCTATCCCCGCGCCCGCCGCCCCCGGCGCCCGAAACGGCCGCCCCAAACGTTCGCGAAGCTTCCCCCACACCGCACTCGCCCCCGCGTTCGCTTTCTTGTTCGAAAGCCCGGCTCCGAGCCAGCATTGCCGCCAAGTCTGCAACGCTTTGACCGGGAGATCCGAGGTGCGAGACCCGACGCTAGCGGAGTTTCGACATTGGATATATAGCTAAATCAAATTCAGCCGCTGTCTGGAAAATAATTGTAGCGACCGTCTGCTCGATTGAATAGTTTTCTGTGTTTTTTCGATCAACACGAGACGAATGTCGGTGCAGTACCCTCACGAACGGGCCACGGTCTACGCGCGTTCTTTCCTTCCTCTTCTTTGCCCTTTCACAAAAACTAACACTTACTTACTACCACACATGTCGAGAGGCCATTCTAGAAGCGTGTCCGTATTGGGGTAAAGACCTGCTGCGGAAGATATATGGAGGTACCTCAGATTTTCAATTTGAATTTCTTCGTTGTATTTGATATTAGTAGAACAACGTTTGTTTCTATAATCCATGATTCATTTGGTTAATCACTCTTTTAATATATATAAGTATCCCGCCCCATGTGCCAGGTTCTGCAAACATTCAAACGTGCGAAAATAACAACGAAAGTGTGCCAACTCACAAAAGAATATTGAGGGGAGCGTCTAAGGTAAGATATATTTTTTAGGAAGTGGGAACTACGTAGAGATATGAAATTATATCTCGTTCTTTCTTATAGCAAAAATCGCTTGTTTAACCGAGTTAACTTGTATTTACATTTATTTCCCTTTACGGGTATTATTACAGACACTGATGTCTATTCAAGACGTTATCTCCTTCGGCATCGTCAATACAGATATCATTTCATTCAGTCATCGCTCTATAGATTTCTGACGAAGTAAATAAAAGTTGGTTAGTAAATAAATATTAGAATCCGCCAAGTATTGGCATTTGGCTTTAGCAACTATATTTGTAACAGAATTTTGGTGACTACCGCAGGTTCGGTAAGTGATTATGGCAATGCAGACAGTTGCATCTTTTCTCTCATTAAAATTACGTTTGTAACTTTTACAAATGGACTCTATTACAATTTTTTAAACTGTAGTTTTAGAAAGTCTGAATATGTTTTTCAGAACCACGTACTCTGAAGTTGTCAATTCTGATTGCCATTCAGGAGAACTGACAATTGATAACCCCGCTATCGAAAGCAACTCATCAAAACAGAATATTGGAAAAGACAATACAAACCTCGCTATTATTCACGTTTCAACTAGACTTCAATAATGCATCAATACCCTATACGCAGTCCTTCAATGTCATATTCACCGCTGCAGTCGCGTGTCTCTTCAAGTCGATCACTACCGCCACCACGTGTTGGCGGATCGCCGTCCGCTTCCCCGCACCCCACTGCCGCTCGCGCCAACGGCTTTGCTTGTTCCCGCCGTCGCCACCTCGTCGCTTCCCCGGGGCCCTCACAGCTCCCTCCGCCGCGTCGTCACCACCTCGTTACGCCGTCATGCTGCCACCCGCAGCCCCATTACCACCCAGTCGCTACCCCTTTTACAGCCCCGTTGGAACTCCGCTGCTGCCCGTTCCTTGCCGCCCATTCCCCGCCCACTGTTCCCCGCCGACCGTTCCCCGCCGACCGTTCCCCGCCGATCGTTCCCCGCCGACCGTTCCCCGCCGCCCTTCTCCGTCACCCGTTCTCCGCCACCCGCACATCACCACCCGTTCACATCCGACCGTTCACCGCCTCCCGTTCCCCACCACCGGTCCCCGTCAGTCATTCCCCGCCACCCGCTGCCCGTTCCCCGCTGCCGCTCCGTCTTCGACTTTTATCTCTCTTTCCTCCACCTACGCACCCTGTCACTTCCGCTACCGTTCCCACCTCGACGTCTCCCTCTGCCTCTCCCATTCTTCCTGGCGCCCCCTCAGCCCCACGGCTGCCGCCACCCGCGCCGCCCTCTGCCCCGCGCGCTGGTGGCCCTCGGGGGAGCGCCTCGCCGCCATCTGCCTCCGCCGCCGGGCTGCTGGGCCGCTGAGCCGCGCGCGGGTCCCCTGGGCCGCAGACGCTTCGCGCCGCGCGATCTCCGCTCCCCTGGGCCGCCGCCGGAGAGGCTGCTCAATGGGAAATGTTTGGCCGCAGCGCGGAGGGCGTCGGAGGCCGGAAAACGGTCGTCGAAAGGCCATCTCGATCTGTCGACACGCCATTTGACGCTGTCTCTTACAATGGCGCGTGGACGTGATACATTGCTCTGCACCGCCAAGACCCGTTGCTCGCGTCACAGGAGACGTCATGAATATATAACATTTTTCTACTATACTACTTTTAGAATATAATAGTACACTATGTTATTTGTTATATGTATAATGTATGCGTATGAAGGTTTGAATTTATAATAATTAATGTAAAATACTGGGAATATAAGAAACGTAACTACAAATAGGCGGCAGAAGGAAAATCAATTATTTAAGTTAATGAGCGATAGAGTTAAGTTTCACAGATAGCAAAATGATGGCTAATGCTACGTTTGTTGCTACTATATTTTGTGTTAATTTCTTTAATCACGGTGTTAGGCAATTTTGAATGGGTCAATCCGATCATATGCATTTATATATGATTGAAATTACATATTTCTTTCCCGACGAAAAACAATGGACCAGTTTCCTCTTTCATCAAAAACAGTTTATCACCTGAATTACATTGTACATAAATTTGATCCGTTGTTTCTGAAAATTAATTATCGTCTACAACGTGGCTTATTTTGTGGTCATCAATTTGTTAATGTGTTTGTCATGCCATAAAAGTCAGTATATGTTATTTTTACTTACGGCAGAATTATAATGAATTTGAATAAAACTATTATTCTTGTGTAGCTTACCACTGGTGGTATATAAAATAAAGAAAATGAAATTACATGATAACATATACTCCATTTATATATGCAATCATAAGTAAAATAAATGTATTTTTCTCATATAAAAGCAATTACTGAGAAAAATTGCCGTTTAATAACAATAACGTTTTTGAGAGAATTACTGATAGTTGTAGAACGCAAAATGAGTCCATTATTTTCTTGTAACTACATTTGTAAAAATATTACATTTTATACCTTTATGTTTTTTTAAGTATAGATTTTTATATTATTTTGAAATCCAACCACAAAGTTAATTGAAATGTTACAAATGAATAATAGC